AGACGGTTGGGATCTGCTGCCTGGTACTGCAAAGAGCTCCACACCACCACCCACCACGGGCCCCAGGAGTCCACAGGGCTCCTGACTCTGATACAGCCCCAGGGCATGGGGTGCTCAGAGCTGGGGTCTGTGCACAGAAACGCTTGACGCAACTCCCAACTTGATACGGAAACGGAGAATCCACAGGACTTGGACATGTCACCAGTGGTTCTGAAGACCACAGAGCCACACAGCCTGACTGCATTCAGAGGGGGAGACCCTCGGGGGAGGGGTCTGGGGACGACCCAGAGGCCTTGTGGTTGGAGCCCACCGAGCAGTGGTGAGGATGCAAGTGCCCTGTGCTTACGGAAGGCCAGTGAGCCTGAGACATGGGCACGATGACCTAGGGGAGGTGGCCTCACATAAAGGCAGGGGCGGAGTTAGCATACGAAGGCCCTTTAGGACACGGGGAGCACTGCATCTCAGCCTAGCCTGCAGTTCTGCAATGTCTGGACCACACCTAACTCCACTCGCTCATTACTGAGGTGCAAAACGGGGATATTTTAATCTAGCAATCCTTCACATGTGAGGGAGAGACGTGTATGAAGACACCTGCCCTCACCAATTATTTAGTCACTGGGAGGACTATTCTTACAGTAAGGGCAGGATAAATGTTCAGTCTCTCTCCCTTTTATTGACTAACACTAAAAACAACAAGTCAGTGTGCCAGCACCATCCAAGTGCAGATTGTTAGTATCGTAAGTTCACAGATATAAGCATATTCGAGGTGTTTAAATCCATTGCAATTACCATGAGGTCTTCTATCTGTGGGCAGTACAAGCCCATTCCAGTTGGTCTCTAGCCAGAAATGTGCTGATATGCCCAAACAGCACATTTAGTTTTATTGCCAGTATTTAACAGATTTGGGCAAAGTCACCTTCGGTCCCGCTAATTCTCAAAAGGATAACGGTTTATACCCCAGTACATGGAGAAAGAGCACCACAATGAGAAAATGATTGTTTTGCAAACTTTAATGCATTAATAATTATTATTAAGGCAAGGATCACAAAAGGTGCTAAAACCATTGGTTAATTGGTTACTGGGACAACAAGGCATGTGCAGGGTGCCCAAGTGACACTCCACACACCCTCGTCACGGAGGGAACGTGGGCATTTCCTTGGGAGAAATCTGTCACCCTTTCGTGGCCCTTACCCCTGGTTCCTCTCATGAGGGGACGCCCGGCCTGGGGCCCCCCCGAGGGCAGAGCAGGAAGCCCCCCCCCCACCGAGGCGGCTCCTCGCGTGGCACCTCAGGAGACTCAAGCTCCCATCCTTCCCTCCCAGTTCTCAGGAAACACAGGCGCCACAGAACACCAATCACACAAACCCAGACTTTGGAACGCCAGAAAAGAAGACTAGCTGGGACTCTATGAAAAGTGAGTATCAAGAAATAAACAGGTGTAGGGAGTCTTGTGTGAAAAGAAGCCAAAGGGATCGAATAAGTAACCAGAATGGATGAACTGAGATTCAATCTTGCTTGCAGACCAACCCACGCAAAAAGCAATAGCTATAAATAAAAGTCAATTTTGTGGACACTGTGGAAATTTAATGATAGGTATTAGCTCTTACAGAATTATATGAACTTTCTTAAGTATGGTCATGATATTGTGGCTTTTAGGAGAATGTGTTGAAACATCTATGGCTGAATTTTTCAAAACTTTTAATTTTGAAATAATTACAGATTTCAAAGTTTTAAAGTAATGTATGCAACTTTGCCCAGCTTTCCCCAATGCTGGCGTCCTGCATTACTACAGTCCAGTGTCAACACCAGGATACTGCCATGGGGCAGGACGAAGCTTGTCCTGGTGCCTCTGATGACACCTGCACTCATCTGTGCATGTATGTGGGCAGCAACCTGACCACACCCCACCAATACACTGTGGCTCTTACCACAAGGCCCCTCCTGCTGCCCCTCTGGGTCTCGCCCCTCCCCTCAATCCTCCCATCCCAACTCCTACACCCACTCATCTGGCCTCCAACTGTATAATTTTGTCATTTCAAGAATGTCACAGAAATAGAATCATATAGCATGTTACCGTTAGAGAATGGCTCTCCGCACTCAACACAGTTCCCTTGAAGTTCACCCAATTGGGTGCGTGTCTCAGTGGCTTATTCCCTTTTACTGCTCTGTGATACCCCGTGGTGTGGGTCACCACCATCTGTCCAACCTGCCATTGGCAGCCTCCAGTTTGGGGCTATTAGGAGTAAAGCTGCTAAGAACATTTCTGTGTAAGTTTCTTTGTGAACATTCATGTAATGTCTGTGGATGCTCACGAGTGCCACGGCTGGGGAGTATGGCAAGCCCTCTTCTGTTATATTTTATAACAAGCTGCAAGCAGAATGGGTGGACCACTGTACATTCCCGTCAGCAGCGTAAGACTGCTTCAGTTCCTCCCACCCTCACCAGCTCTCCGGTGTTACCACTACTTCCTACTTCAGCCGCCTGGTGAGTGAGCAGTGGCAGCTCACTGCGGTTCGATCTGCATTTCCCCAGAGGTGAACGCTGCTCAGCCCTTCCCGCATGCTTGTTGCGTGTGTAAGTCCTCTTTAGGCAAATGTCTGTTCTTGTCTTCTGCTCATTTTCACACTGGATATTTTTTCCTTTTTTTATTTGAAGTATCATTGATATTCAATCTTACATTGGTTTCAGGTATACAACACAGTGGTTCAATAGTCCCCCTTATTATTAAATACTCACTCCCACTAGTGGAGTTATTATCACCAACAGGGGAAGATGTCACCAAATCACTGCCTTTGGTCTCCGTGCTGTACTACCATCCTCGTGACCAACTTATATTATGGTTGAGAACTTTTATGCCCCTCTTTCCCTCTCACCCTTCTTACTCACCCACCTCAGCCCCTCAACCAGTCACTTCTCAGTGTCTATGAGTCTACTGCTCTTTTGTTCATTTTGTTTTCCTTTTTTTTATATTCCACAAAGAAGTGAATCATATGGTATTTCTTTTTCTTTACCTGCCTTATTTCACTGAGCATAAAACCCTCTAAATCCATCCATGTTGATGGAAATGGCAGGATTTCATTTTTATGGCTGAATAATATTCCATGGTGTGTATGTAACACATCTTCTTGATTCAATGGACACTTTGGTTGCTTCCATATCTTGGGTATTGTAAACAAAGTTCTGTATTTCCCCGATTATTAGCAATGTGCAGCATCTTTTCATGTGCCTGCTGGTCATCTGTATTTCTTCTTTGGAAAAATGTTTACTCAGGTATTCTGCCCACTTTTTAATCAGACAATTCCTTTATTTTTTGGTGTTGAGGTATGGGTTCTTTATAGATCTTGGATATTAACCCCTTATCGGATAAATCATTTGTGAATATAGTCTCCAGTACTGTCGGATGCCTTTTTGTTCTGCTGATAGTGTCCTTTGTTGTGCACAAGTTTTACGTTCAATATCGTCCCACTTGTTCAGTTTTTCATTATGTTTCCCCTGCCCAAGGAGTTGTGTCTAGAAAAAATTGCTTGTGCTTATGTTCAGGAGATTTTTGCCTGTGTTTTGTTGTAAGAGTTTTATGGTTTCATGTCTTACATTCAGGTCTTGATACTTTTTGAGTTTACTTTTGTGTGCAGAGTTAGGCAGTGATCCACATTCATTCTCTTGCTTGTCCCTGTCCAGCTTTCCCAGCACCAGTTACTGGAGAGGCTGTCTTTACCCCAGTGTATATTCATGGCTCCTTTACCGTATATTAGTTGACCGTATATGTGTGGGTTTCTATCTGGGTTCTCTATTCTGGTCCATTGACCTGCAGATCTGTTCTTATGTCAGTACTGTGCTGTTTTGATTATTGTAGTTGTAGACTAGCTTGAAGGCAGGCAGGCTAATACCCCCAGCTCTGTTCTTCTTCCTCAGCATTGCTTTGGCCTCTCAGTCTTTTGTGGTTCCGTACGCATCTTAGGATTGTTATGGTTCATGGAAATGTGCCATTGGAATTTTGATAGGGATTGCATTGAGTCTGTATACTGCTTTGGGCAGGACAGTTGTTTTGACATGATTTTGTCCTATCCATGAGCATGGGATACATTTCTATTTATTTCTGCCTTCTTTAATTTCTCTCATGAGTGTCTTATATTTTTCAGAGTACAGGTCTTTTACCTCCTTGGTTAGGTTTATTCCTGAATATTTTATTCTTTTTGATGCAACTGTAAATGAAATTGTTTTCCTTATTTCTCTTTCTGCCAGTTCACTGTTAATATGTAAGGACACAACAGATTTCTCTGTATTAACTATATATCCCGCAACTTTGCTAAATCCAGTCATTAGTTCGAATCGTTTTTCGGTGGAGTCATTAGGGTTTTCTACGTATAGTATCATGTCATCTGCAGATAGTGACAGGTCAGTCTCTTCCTTAGCAATCTGGATGCCTTTTATGTCCGACGGCGGGGCTGGGGCCTCCAGTACTCTGCTGAGTGAAGGTGGGGAGAGTGGGCACCTTGTTCTGTATTGTTGCTGATCTTAGAGGAAAAGCTTCCAGTTTTCACCACTGAGTATGATGTTCGCTGTGGGTTTGTTCCATGTGGCCTTTGTTGTGTTGATGTGCGTACCCTCTATACACATTTCGTTGAGTGTTTGTCATGAATGAATGTTGGCTTTTGTCAAACGCTTTTCCAGTATCTATTGAGACGATCATGTGGTTTTCATCCTTCCTTTTGTTAATGTGGTGTATGACATTGATTGATTGACTGATGCATATTGTTTCATCCTGCATCCCTGCAATAAATCCCACTTTGTCATGATGTGATTTTTTTGAATATATCTTTTGCTATAGTTTTGAATTTGCTTTGTAATATTTTATTGAGGAGTTTGTCATCTGAGGAGTTATAAATAGTATTTCATTTCAATTTTGTTTTCTACTTCTTATAATAGAAGCACAGCTGATTTTATTGAGGTTGCTGATTTTATATTCTGCAGCCTTACTAAGTATACTAGTCCCAGAAGTTTTTTCTAGATACCTTGGGAAACATACACACGTTCAGAGAGAGAAAAAATTGTGGCAACATGATTTATGTCTCTAAGTGGAAGTAGTATGGGTGTTCATTGTACTGTTTTCAACCAATTTAAATTTTCCCAAAATTAAAGGGAGGAATTTTTGTACTGCTTGCAACGAAAAACCTTTTCAGTTGTAACTGCGGCCTGCATGAAATTTTATTTTCCATCCCCCACACTGAGCTCCTCTCCCACACCCCTGCTCCTGGGCCTAGTCCCCCTGGGGCTGTGACCTGCTTTCATTCTCCCCCTTCCCATCCTGCCTCCCCCTCTCCCCTCCCCCAGCTCGGTAGCTGGGGTCCTGCGGCCGCATGGATGATGCTTGGACACCCTCGTCCCCTTAGTCCTCTCCCTGCGGCTTGTCTGGTAAACCACAGGCTTCAGCTGAACCAAACTCTGCTGCGTCCCCTCCTGCGCCCGGGGCTTGGGTCTGGTGGGGAAATTCACGTGGCTGAGCAGGCAGGCCAGGGCCTCTAACAGGCAGGCTGCAGGTCCCCAGGGCCAACCTCCTCCTCTCCAGACGGCAGCGCGGAGGAACGATGGCGCTGGTCATGCTTCCGTCACCTTCAGTAGCACAGCTCGGGCCGGAGAACGCTCCCCAGGGGGACACAGGGCCTCTGGCTGATTCGGGGCTGACACCCAGCCCCACCTCCCCATCCCAAGGTGGGTTCCCTCGTGGGTAAGCCCCCACTCTCCCTAGAGGGGAGGGGCAGAGGACCCCAGTCTGCTACGACTCGGGACACAGGAAGGGGAGAGGAGGCTCCCTCTCAGGGCCTTCCATGCCCCCCTCTCTGGGACGGGGTCAGCGTTCTCTCCGGGGCTCACATGTACATGCTGCTCCTCTGCCTGCCACCTTCCCACTGCATGTCCACCCAGGGGCACGGAACTCGAGTGGGTCCCTGTCCTGAGAAAAACAGCTGGCTTTTTTCCTAGAGAAAAACAGCGAAACAATTCTTGATTTTCTGTCTTCTTAAACAAAACTAACTAACTGAAATTAAACACAGAGAACAGACTGGTGGTTACCATAGAAGAGGGGGCATGGAGGTGGGTGAAATGGGTGAAAAGGGTGAAGGGAAAGAAAAATGAGAAAGAATGCTTGGTATCCTGATCTGGGCAGTGGTTACATGCCTGCAGACACGTGTTCATCAGTCTACACTAAGATTTCTGCATTTGATTGTATACCTAGAGGGGAGGGGCAGAGGACCCCAGTCTGCTACGACTCGGGACACAGGAAGGGGAGAGGAGGCTCCCTCTCAGGGCCTTCCATGCCCCCTCTCTGGGACGGGGTCAGCGTTCTCTCCCGGGCTCACATGTACGTGCTGCTCCTCTGCCTGCCACCTTCCCACTGCATGTCCACCCAGGGGCACGGAACTCGAGTGGGTCCCTGTCCTGAGAAAAACAGCTGGCTTTTTACCTGGAGAAAAACAGAGAAACAATTCTTGATTTTCTGTCTCCTAGTTTTTTCTGTTTCTAAAGAAAACAGAAGTTGGTTACTTTTGCAAAAAAATGATTAATGTAAATCATTGCAATCATGTTAGATATAATAGAGTAACATATAAATATGGTTTGCTTCTTAAGAGAATTGTTATAATTCATAATATAAATCCAATAAAAATACCTTGTTTTAATATTCATGTTATTGTATTTTATAATTAAAGTTAAATGTTTAAGTTTATCACCTACTTACATAATTATTTATTGGTGCATGTTCACACACGTATACAGAGTTATATTAAAGTAGATTTTTTTGAAAATCTATTAATAATAAAAGGTAAAATTAGAGTATATTATGTATTAATCAGGGTTTCGTAGATAAACCAGTAGGATGTATATATATAATACATATATATATACACATAGAAAAATCACATATCATATATATAATTTATTTGTATTTATTTATGTAAATATACATATATTATATACATTTATTTTAAGATGGCTCGTGTGATCATGAATGCTGACAAGTTCCCAGACAGGCGGCTGACAAGCTGGCCATCTGCGGTTGGAGAGCTGGCAGCGCACTTTGGCCCTAAGGCTGGCAGGGTTGAGATCCACATACAGCCAATGTTTCAGTATGAATCCAAAGACAGGAGAAAAACAGCTTAAAGGCAAACAATGGACAAGATCATTGCTTTTGTAAATCAGGCAGGAGCTCCCTCTTACTCAGCCTTTTTGTCTATTTAGGCCTTAAACCCATCAGGTGAGGACGCCCCCCGTCCGGGAGAGCCATCTGCTTTAGTAGTCTACCTATCGCAGATGCTAATATCACCCGGAAACACCCTCAAAGACACACCCAGAATAACGTTTGACCAAATATCTGGGTACACTTTGGGCCGTGTGGCTGGGTACAAATGCAGTGATGGTCTCAAATGGCAGCAGCTGGCTCCCTTGTTCAATGACACTCCCCACAGTAGGTCTGCAGGGCACACACTCATGCCCACAAAAAGAGTTTTAACAGATGTTTCAATTTCCACTTCTGATGCAGAAAGCTGGAAAGAGCATTATTTTCATCCTTTCCATAATAAGGAAGAGCTCCTTGGGGTGGGGAGAGGTTGATTTGTTCATTATCTTCACGGTGTTGCTGAATTCATAGATGTAGATAACATGTGTCAAAATCCATTAAATTGCACATTTCAAATATGTGGAACTCTTTGGCAATCTGCCTCAATAAAACTAAAAAAGCATACTTAAAGAGCATATCGAATGTACAAGATACCAGAACATTCTTTGCAACAACAAAAGTGTGATAGACCTGTTTTCCAAATTCTTTAAGAGAATACAAGAATTCAAAAGCAATACTCTCGATCACTGTTTTTTGGAAGACCAATGCTGTTCTGTGCTTCACCAAGGCCAGATGCTCCATCCTAAAAGCCAGCAGCCCCCCTTCCTAACCTGCCTAGCTCCCCATCAAGTACAGGTGGGGCGCTAATCCCTCTGGCCTCTCAGAACCGTCTTCTCTCCTGGGCTTTCTGAGCAGTGTCGTCCTTCCCTCTGAGCCTGAATGGGGAGAAGGGGCTTTCCGTGACCTCTCCCTGCAGGTCCAGAGCATTTTGTGGGATATATCCTTGCACTGTTCTCGGCCATCACTCATTTAAAATGCAGTGCTGGGCTCTTCGTGAGTTTAAGTTTTATTTTGCCCTCAGAACATCTCTAGTCAATAGTACTGACAAGTTTCTCATTCCTTTTGACTAAAGCACAGTCTACAGCATGGTGTGGTTCAAAGTTGAAAGTGACGCAAAGAGAACAAAATTAATTTAAGAAATAGAAACTGGGAAGAGCCTCTTGACCCTCAATTCAGGTCAGTTACAGCCAGTGTTAACTATTATTAAACGGTAGTCACTGTTTGTCAAGCTTTCTGCTCAGTGGAAGGCACACATTCTCTGCAATATCACCAACAGCCTTATGAGATGGAACCTCTTCTTATTGCCAGTTTAAAGATGAGGAAATGTAAACTTGAAGGGATTAAGTCACCTGACCACAGACGCATAGTGGTGGGACCTCTGATGCCACAACCCTGTGTACAGACACTAAACCGCAAGAGTAAAACAGCCACAGCTGTTCTGACTTCTCAACCTGGAATGAAGGAAGCCATACGTGTAACAGTGAGAAAGAAAAAAAAAGAAAAGCAGCCCCCTACATCCGGAGCCTGGCCCAGCTTGGAGCCAGCTCTCCTGGTGGACACAAACCATCTCAGGGAACACCCACCTCAGACAAGGTCCCTCTGAGACCAGGATAGAGTGAGACAAAATAAGGCAACTTCATAACCTTGACTGAGTACAGACGGAAAGCAATGTTACATGCTTCCCCCAAAATACCAAACATCCTTTCTCTTGGCCCAATGACTGACTGCTATTTATTTATCACTTACAACTGTATTTTTGCTGTAATCTCTTTTCCCTATAGATGGTATTTATTGACACACCCAATCATAGGATTGCTCCTTTTGATAGCCCTTATTTCCTTAGACCCTTTCCCACATCACTAACCGAAGCCCACATCCCACAGCAGGTTCTTCCTAACACCTTATGGGGACACCCTCTCAGTTCCCCCATGCGGGTTCTCAGGAGCAATGAGCCCAGTCACTGAAATACAGTGTGTTTTTGGTGGTGTTTGGCTGGAGCACATTGACGAGAGGAAGTGCACGGGTTGAGGAAAATTAAGGCCTTTCTGTAGCACCTCTGTGATAAGGATATGTGAACAGAGATGTAAATTGGAGAAAGGACTATGTGGGGATTTCTGAGCACCCATGAAAAAACAAACAAGCAAGCGAAGTACGATGCAAATTTCATGAACAATATTCACTCACCTACTGAAGGGCCACTGGAGGACCAGGTCTGCACTGGGCACCCATTGGGTCAGAGGACAGCACACAAGGATGCCCGCCGTCCTGGAGTTTTCATTTCTCTGGCAGCAAATAAGTAAGTAAATTTCAATTCGCCAGCAAATAACTAAGTAAGTAAGTAAAAAAATTTCTGATTAGGAATTGAACTGTAGATTAAAAGGGGATAAGTACACAGGAGAAAAGATGCAAACGCTTAGGGAGGGTGGACCAGGACGGGCGTGCGAACGATCTGTTAGTCATTCCCAGACGGGCAGCCATACCTTTGTCTGCTCTTCGGAAGGGACAAAGAGCATGCTTCCCCCGCTCAGGTGTCAGCCAGGACCAGTCACCTTCTCCCGCGCAGACGCGCCTCACCTGCGTCTGACTAACGGCGCTTAGGGGCCTCGGGCCCCGTGTCCCTCGGGTCCGGGTCCCTCCCAAGCCCCTGTACTGCCGGCCGCCGGCAACTCAGGCCCTGTCCTACAGCGCCCACGTCGGCCCCGCCCAAGCCTAGAGCTGATTGGGCTGAGAGAGCCACCTGGTCATCTCAACCAATCGGAGTCCTCGGCTGGCATTTTAGGGCGGGGCCGCCGCCCGGGTGGGCCGACGACGCGCCAGCGCGCTCCCGCAGGAGGCGCCGCCGTGGGTTCTGCTTCTCCCATTAAGGCAGGGTGCTTTGCTTCATTCATTTTGTTATTTTAAATAGTGGGTAAGGTGAATATATCCTCATTATTCTTACATTATTCTTACAGCACATTCTAAACTGTAGTTAGTTTTCATTCTTCTAAAATTGGAATTTTTAGTTTGATTAATAGCAACAACAACAAAAAACCCTATTTAATGAGTTACATGTACGTGTATATTTATTCCCCTCTTGTCATCCAACAGCAGGGCATGTCTTTCATTTGAAGGGTGAAAGCTTTATTCTTCTGTCTCTACTCGTTTATCATTAAGTTTATGATTAGCAATACCACCCGGCTTGTGATGAAATAGACCGGTGTCTATTGTACACATTACTTTCCTATCATTATTTAGTAATAGGTTATTGCTGGTATATACGGACAATGCCTCTCTCCTTGAAAAAGACCCTACGTCGCTCTTCTGAGCGCTCTTCTTGACGAGACTTCAAACTTGTTCTATGAAGACTTGAAAAGACACTACTACAGTTTCTAATAGCTCAAGTCCTAGAATGACTCTAGGGCCCCTTCCCCCCAAAAAAATGCCTGCCTGAGAAAACTAAAAGCTGCCTAAACAACTGACTGTCCCAGCCGACCCCCCGCATCAGGCCCCGGGCCCCCAGACCCATGTGAAGGGAAGGGCCCAGCTTCCGTAAGTGCCACTCAGCAAACCCAGGTGAGTTTCCCCGAGCCAGCCTGCCCTTCCTGATTTGTGTTAAGTTTTCACTGCCCTCGCTCTACTGATCCCCCACTCAACCTCATGCTCAGGTGTCCCTTTATCATGGCCTGTCACCTCTGTACAAATGCAAGTTGCACTCCGCCCCCACGGGATGTGTTTCCTAGCGCCGTGGCATATTACTGGTAACGGTCTGTCCTTACCACGTTAGCTAGTGTCTAGCTTTGCTTATCTTTGACAATACCAACCACCCCAAGCAACCACATCACTAGTCACATTGATTAACTCATTGTAATTAGTTTCATTGTTTTTTAGGGTGTCTAGGTACACACTTAAATCTCTTCTAATGGTTTTTAATATGTGCTTCTTTATGATATTTCTTTCATGTCATTGGTCAGAATTCTCAACAATGTAACATGTAATGGTGCTGGTTGTCTAGCAAATGAGTAGATTTTTTGCCAAAGAAAAATATGAGTAACAAGAAAGATTTAATCAGGCACTAAAGAAATGAGACAGATCCAGTCAAATTGAGAAGAGGGTTCTTGAACAGTGGGAATAGGCATCTTTATCTGCTTGATTCCCTGGCTTCTATAACTAAATTCTATAACTAAAGCCCTTAATGATTTTCTCTGATGTGAATTGCCTGCTCATACCCTTTGCCCATTTAAAAAAATCTTTTGGGACATTTTTCTTACATATTTGCATTCTTTTAAATTTATTTTTGTTATGTCTATCAGTTCTATGCATCAAAAGCATCATTCCCTAGCCAGTTGCTTCTATATATCCTGTTTTTCATGCCTTTTGTTGACAAGAATTTTTCATTTTTTGTATAGACTTAATTTTTTTATGAAGGTATTATTGATATACAATCTTATGAAGGTTTCACATGAGCAACATTATGGTTTCAACATTCACCCACAT